CTTTTGTTCTCTGGTGGCTTTATCTGGCGGCTTTCCGCGTCTCTTCCGAGAGTCAGAGCAGAAGAGACCGTTTCCAACCCTGCGCCTCAGAGCAGAGAGACCTCAGTCTGTTCTTCAGTGCTCCCTCCAGGCCCCACTGTCTCTGTTTCTGTCCATGCTGCTATAAACTGCAGCGTCCTGGGTTGTGCGCCCCTCCGCAGCGCTCCCAGTCCTGCCTCCAGGTCGGGGCACGTCTCTGCCCTTTGTGCTTCTAAAACCGCCAGCCACTCCCAGTTCGTGTGCGCACACGACTCTGCCGCTTGAGGTTCTGTCCCGGGGACTGCAGTTCACTGGTGCGACCCCGGCGCACCGGGTTTCCGTCTCGGAGGCTGCAGTTTGAGTGCGCGCGACCGTCGCTCCGGGTTTCTGTCCGGGGGGCTGTGGTTCATGTGCACGCGACCCTGCCGGTCTGCTTTTCCACCCCGGGGGCTGCCCTAAAGTCCTTTCCCCGCCGCTACCGGTCTGCGAGTCTGTGCCCCGTCCGCAGCGCAAGAGGCTGTCACTCACTGGCGGTGTAGGATCCCCACTGTCAGGCACCCTCCTGCTGCCGTTTATCCTCTGATATCTGCCCGCAGAATCACGGCTCTCCGGTTTGTACCTCAAAACCAACTGCCTGCGATATTCTGTTTGTAGAGATCCAGATCTTCTTACATCTGAGGCTGGTTTCGTGGGTGCTCAGAGTGGTCTGGTAGATATCCAGCTCAATTCGGGGACCAGTTGACATAGGGTCCCCTACTCCTCTGCCATCTTTCCCCTCTGCTCAATATATTTTTTATCTGAACTACATGGAAATCAGTACAGAACTATTGAAAACATCCATCTTTGACATTTGATCACCTCCACAGGCCCTGCGACATGGTCCCTCCCTGGTTTCTGTACTGTGGTAGAAAGTTTAATAAGTGCTGTGGATACTGGTGAGAGATTTAGGAATTTTGCCTTTAGCAGTCATGGAAAGCAATAGGAATTGGTGCTGGAGCTTGAGGAATAAGCTGAAGAGACGTAGGGGATAGAGAAGGAAAGCATTTTAAGTCAGAGGGAACAGCACGGACCAAGGCATGAAAATGTGGAGTTACGTGGTGTGTTCAGAAAACACATTTTCCTTAACAGTTTAGGTATTTAGGGGGTGTTCTAAGGGTTGTTAAAGTTAAAAATAAGTACCAGATCTTTCAAACTTTGATTCTTCACAGAAGAGGGCACATTATTTTCTTACTCCTTTTCTGTCTCTTGCCTCCCTACACCCTGAGAGGCCTTGCACAGTTGTGCTTGATCTGTGTGACTGATGGTTTATTTGTGTATTTGAGAAATTGCCTGCAAGCCTCTGTCACCTTTTGGGGACAGCCTCTAGAGGTGTTGGTGGCAGCTATGAGTGATCAAGTGATCCAGGTACCGGGGAGCTTGGCCTGAGAGACAAGAGAATACAGGGCACAGGTTATGAGCAGGAGGATGAGTTAATGGGGTGGCATCCCTTAGAAGAAGCCAGGCAGATGTGCTGGCATGTCTAGAAGCATTTTCAGAAATATTTTTGGCATGTTGTCCTTAGGAAAACTTTAATGAGACTTATTTTTTCCCATCTGCCTTTGCTCTCTCTTCTACCTAATTCCTTTAAAAGTTCTTTTCTTCTGCGTAATTCCTTAAAATGTCCCCTGAACATTTGCTGGTGAAGGTAATTCTATAATTATAAAGGTAAAATGTAATTTAGAAACACATGTTTTTTAAAAAAGAGTGCTGTATTTTGAATAGATCACATCATCATCATTTCTTCTGTGGGGAATCATCCAAAGGTTTTTTTAGTTGAAAGATTGGAACACTTCCTCATGGATTATGTGGGGTTTAGAGGATCATCTACAAAATTGTTATTAATGCCCAGTTCTTAATATTCTTTTTTTTTTTTTTTTTAAAGATTTTATTTATTTGACACAGAGAGAGAGAGAGAGAGAGCACAAGTAGGCAGAGCAGCAGCAGAGGGAGAGGGAGAAGCAGGCTCTCTGCTGAGCAGGGAGCCCGATGTAGGAGTCAATCCCAGGACCCTGGGATCATGACCTGAGCTGAAGGCAGACGCTTAACTGACTGAACCACCCAGGTGCCCCTGATGCCCAGTTCTTGATGGCAGAGGCCATGACTCAGTGGGCCCCATTGTTCCTGGCTGCACGATAGTTCAGTTGATGTATGTTGGTGTGTTTTTGTTTTGTTTCTTTTTTTTTTCTGCTTTGATATTCATTAAGTTGACAGCTAAATCAGAACTGATCTATCAGTTTGTGGAACATTTAACACAAGCTGTGGAGAGTTACAAGCAGCGGATGGACTGGCTCACCAGCAGAAGCCGACAGATTTTTGGTGTCGTCTTGGAACAGTGCATCACCATAGTGCTGGATTTTGGCGGCATGCTGGAGGAGGAGCTTAATCTGTGCCAAGATGCTCTAACAATGGTCCTCCAGGAGCAGGTGGCTCATATAGCCAAGTTTAATATCATACGGTGAGTTCCCTTTGGAAGGGAATATTTCAGTGAAACTTCATAAGTAGTTTTCATTTATTTAGAGTTAAGTAACATATCTTTGGGGAGGGAGGAGGTATTATCTTGTCATTTCCTAGAATGTGTAATTCCAGCAGAAGACCCACAGTGAAAACTTATATCTGCTTTGCATGTGGCATCTTAGTTTTGAAATTAGAAGACATTTAGAAACACACTTTTCTTCAATTCATGGCAAGATCAAAATATAAGAATAGGAATTACACTGAATATATACTTAAGGCCATACAAATCTCTTCGGTCATTTTAGATTTTAGCCTGAATAATGAATTCAGCCTTGTCACAGCTATCACTGTTTTTTTCAGACTGAGCTTGTGACTCCATTGTAAGTTGACCCCCTTAATAGAACAGCAGGTGGCCGGCTTTATAGAATTTCCTGTATTTCAGAGTTTTCACAATCAATTATTTACAGATTCTTGGATTCAAGAGAATTTGGGCTCTAAGGCCAACTTTTCATGTGGAACAGTGGCTGTACCTCCCTGACAGGAAAAATCTGGATGAAGGAGGCATCTACCTAATTGAGTTTTTCTTTTGAAGAAAATATTTTCAGCTAAACAGATGACATCTTTGGGGATGTTGCCTAATTGTGTTCTATCCCAGATTTTTATTTCTGTCATAGATATATTACTGAAGGAATCAAGTCTTAAGTCTGCAACGCTTTAGCTTTTTTGGAAACCTACGCTATAGCATTTAGGCCACTCGGCCACATTTCTACCAGAGGGGCCACATAGAGGTGACACAGGTGTGCGGCAGCTTCTGTCTCAGGGCGGTTTATGAGGGACAGCTCAGGCTGGTTCATTAGTCCATGACTCATAGAATTCTTATAATTGTGAATGCATATATGATTTATATAATTTGTTCAATTATAAACACAGAGATAAAGAGATTCAAATGGCTATTCTTTCTTGGGGGGATTCCATCACTGCTTTCTAAGTCCACACTACATGGTTTAATCACATGTTCCCAGGATTTAAAAACTAATGCTTTGCTGAACTCAATACTGTTTTTGATCCAGAAGAGGGAACTGATGGGAATTTGGAACAATGAAAACAGTGTCTTAAAAGAATTAGAAATAAAATTTTCGAGTGTTAAAATTGTCGCTGATTTACAAATCTTACTGCTGTGAATCCTTATAAATTTACTATTAGTGGAAGATAGTTGTATATAAACCTGCCTGTTTATGAAAATAATTCCCTCAATAATTTTAATGCAGCCGTTAATGTTTACATTTTTGAAATTGTTTAATTCTCCTGTATGCATTGTCTTTCCTAGTCAGTACAGCTTATGGAAGGTAAGGGTGCTTTGGAGACTGATCTTAAACAGCTCGCCCAATGTATTGGTAACTTTTAGAGGGCCAGGAACTGTTTTCTCTCCTTCAGCTCTGGTGATGTTAAGTGGCTTGTCGCTTGCAGCTCTGAGACTGAGAGCTGACAGCTAGGTTGCCCACTGCCCAGTGACAGCCCCGTGGGATTCTTTTCAGGGTTTCCCAGCGGCCTGTGAAATGGCAGGAAAATGCTGTTCCTGTGACCGAGCAGTCCATAGCCGCTGCCATCAGTTGGGTTGAGAAACTGCCTTTTGAGCTGGCTGTGAGCCAGGCTAGCTGCCTGGACGCTCTGCTGGAAGCTGGGAATGACAAAACGGTAAGTGTGCATCCATGGCGGGCCCCAGGTCACATTGGTGGCTTCCAGTTTCTTTCTCTCCACCCAGTACCCCCATACTGCCTTTCAGCTGACCTGGGTCCTCCCAGCAGCATCCCACAGAGACCCCATCACTGGCACTGGGGAGTCCTGAAAGTCTCAGTCCTCTTCACCTCTGAATTTGGAACCACTTGAGAAATAGGTGACAGGCCCCAAGTGGGGATCAAAATAGCAGCTTTGGTGATGGCAGAGCTGGAGAAACCAAAATGAGACTCCCTAACCCTGCCCCCTGAGCCTGGCGGGGCTCCCTCTGGGTGATTAGGGCACAGGGTCAACCCCCATTTAGCCAGTGCCAGCAGGGCCACGTGCTGCTCACAGCCACTGAGCAGTGAGAAAGGACAGGGAATTCGGCATAGTTGTGCATCTCTCATATTTTAGTTCTGCTCTTGTTCTCCTGACAATTAGATAAATCAGTCCATCTCTTATGAGGGAGAGAGGTTGGGAGACTCTTCGTAGAACCCCGAGGTTGAGGAAATAGGGATTCCCCACATCTATGTTCTGAATCTCTCCCAGTTCCTCTTCTTCACAAATGGATCTGTTCTGTGCTTTCCAAGGTGAAGTATATCTACATAGATGCATCATCCATTTTTGAATATTAATGCATTCACATGTGCTTTTTTTTTTTAAGATTTTATTTATTTATTTGAGAGAGAGAGAATGAGAGAGAGCACATGAGAGGGGGGAGGGTCAGAGAGAGAGGCAG